AATTCAAAGGCACATCTACTAAAGAAGACTCAAAACAAACTAAGGCCAAGGGAATACCTGGAGAACTCTTCTTCTTTTCCAACAAAGTCTTGAATTTAAAACAATCTTTTTGCCAGTGACCCTTCTTTTTACAGAACTTGCATTGATCATTTTTCTTTATAACTGCTTTGGGACCACTAAAATTCTTATTCTGCTGACTTCGATAGGACTTATTACCCTTACGAAACTTAGGTTTATGATTATGAGAAGGCCCCTTATTCTGTGATGGCTGAAAAGCTAATTGCACAGTTTCACGGCGCATCCTATACTCTTCTTGGGCACACACTGCTATGAGGTCATTCAAATTCCATTTATCCCGCTGAGCATTGTAAGCAACCTTAAGCTGATTAAACTTACTAGGAAGGCTATTCAAAACATGATAGATTAGGAAAGGTTCCGCAATGGAAATGTCAAGAGCCTTTAGCTTAGATGATATATTTATCATTTTCATGACATGCTCCCTAACACCATTTGTGCCATCATATTTTATGCTCAAAAATTTATCCATCAGATCCCCAGTTTCGGTTTTATCAGACTCAATAAATTTTTCTCCTATGGCATATCCATAAAACTTTTGGCATTTTCGTTATCAGGGATGGCACCTAGAATGGAATCAGATATCGATTGCTTAATGATTTTCAAACAGAGTTTGTTAGCCCTTTCCCACTTTTCATGCTCGGCTACATATTCAATAGTACTTTTATCTGTGGGTTTCTCAAACTTTTTCTCCATTGTAAAATCCAAGCCCAAAAGACCAAGTGTTATTTCTATGTCTCGTTTCCATCTCACATAGTTATTCCCAGTCAAAGTTTTAATAGCAGACAATTGATTTGAAAGAGATGAGGTATTATAAACTGTGGAAACATAAAATATCACACTCAATATCATCTAAACGTAATGCATGCAATCAAATGGATGATGAAATATCCAACTAATTAATATGAGCTATTAATTAGATAATCCGTAATTTAAATCGAAACATATAAATTTTTATTACGGTAAGAGCCTAGATGCATCATCATAAGGTCACCTTTGGGTCGACAATACAACATGCTATAAAGTACTCTTAAAACATATCATGTAGCTAGTTAACAAAATTATACTGATTTTCGAAATACCAACACCTTTGGGAAGAAAGAAATTTCTAAACCAAAATAAGCTCATTAACTTTCTCATGCCATTTTCCAAAAATATTACATATAATAACACCTTTGGGCAAGATATTATGTGCAATAAATCAAAAGTTGTTGGGCAAAAATATATATATTTTTTATTGTAGAGAAAACCGAATAAAAATGAATGTGCCACTTTGGCAGCTACCACCCATTTTTATTTCAAAATATTTCTCTCTTAGTGGAAAAATAAGAATCGTCTCAATGCTCGTGAAAAATTTCATCACAGAAGTTATGCAACAAATCATGATCATTAATTGATGAAAGACAAGAAATCCATACGTGATTAATATTAAGAGACGAAATTTGCAACAAAATTTCAAAATAAAATTTAATGCATAAATAATGGCAATACATAACATTTTAATGAAATAATAGAAAAGTCGTTAATTAATTTTATTATTTATTCAACATATGATTTTAAATCTCAAGTTTAAATAAAATTTTAATTGGGTCGAAATTGAAATCTTAGGGTTAAACCTTTTAAAAGTTCAAATTTAATATCCTTTGAAAATTACATATTAACCCTAGATTTAAATTAAAACTGGGTCCCTCAATATTTAAAATTGGTGGCAGGTCCTTCAACTATATAAATTACATGACAGGCCCTTATTTTATTATTTACAAAACCTAGCCCCCCAATCTGTAATTGCAAATAGGGGTTTGAAGAATACTTATTTACAGCAGAAGCCCCCGTCTACCTTAAACCCATTTTATACCGAACTAAATTTTTTTTGTTTTTTCTTGCGGCATCCGGCGCCACTCCTGCCGACGCTGTAACCCGTGCGGCAGCACCGATCAACCAAATTTTTTTTTCTTGATTATCACCTTAGACAAAAACTCACACAGATTCACACATTATATATATATATATATATATAAGTTTTCAACATTATGCAATACCGTACGGGGCCTATGATAGGTTTAAAACTCCTTGATATTTGTTTTATATAAAAGGAGGAGAGAGAGGGAAGCATTTACTATTCACACATGGAGGAGAAAGGGGAGAGAGGGAAGCATTTATTGTTTATTGTTCGTGCTTTCTCAAATTCTCAGAAAAATAACAATATAAAAAAAAAAGCCAACTTTTTGATTATTGTGGAAGATAATAACTCTGCTTTCTCAAATTATTAGAAAAATAACAATATAAAAGTCAACTTCTTGATTATTCAGGCAGAAAACGAGAGAACATATTGTTTTATTAGGGATTCTAATCTTAGCATGAAAGCTCTGATATCAATTGTTAAATTTTAATTTGTAATCATGCCAAGAATTTAGAATCACCATATAATAAATTTATAGAAACGAATTCATACCTGCGGAAGCCATTGTTGATATGAATAGTAGTTGTAATAGTAGTCAAGATCTTCCCCTCCTTACTCCTCACAAAATATCAGCTATCAATGGGGCAAGCCAATAAAACATATGGAGAGGAGAGGAGACCTAGCCTTTATATATAGGAAATAATTTGAGACGTCCCATTACGACTAGAATTCTAATTAGGGTTTATTTTCGGCCCACATACTTTAAACTACCACATAAAATTAATTACAACCCGTAAGGTGTAAAAGGCCCAATTGATCACTTAATAAATTTGGCCCAAACACAAATATCATTATGAGCCATATATCTAACTCGTAAAATTTTGCAATCGAATGTGAAGCCCACATATGGAATTATTAATTATTCCAACATCGAATGCAACAATAACTGCTCCGAAGACAAAAGCAGCAGCAAAGAATAAAGCAGCATTTCTCCTAGCCTGATCCTGAGGCTACTCCAGAAGTTGAAGAGCCACTCCACAACCTGGTGGACAACATTTGAAGAAAGGGCACATACACGCTCCATTATCCCCTGTAAAATAGTCTTTTTAAGTCAAAACCGGCTTGATGGTATAACTAACAAGAACAATAAAGATTATACAGATTCTACAAAAATATATAGAATACCTCTAGAGGCATACAGAGAAATAAGGAACAAGATCAAAGCAAATGTAGATGCACTCTCAGAAACAATTGTTAGGACATACAGGGTAAACAAAATTACCTGAATTGAACCAATTCCAAATAAGCAGGAAGACAGACCAAAAAATGTTCGTGCAACTCTAGGGACAGGGAGCAACTTTTGCATGCCACCACGATCCACAAACAGCGCAACAAATTTTCGAGGAGCAGCCAATGCACAGATTAATTTCAAAATATCGGGCAAAAGTAATGCAGAGCTAGAAGCATCTTTATGCTTAAAACTTCGATGCAATAGTGTAAGACAGACATCCACCCCTTTTTTGTGTAACACAGGACCAAGAACTTCAACATACTCCTCTAAAATCACAAGACACTGTATACAGAATTTTTCCTTAAGCTTTCGGAGGGATTCACTATCAAGAATGAAGAATTCACCAATATCTTCAATAGGTTCTGGTTCTGTAGGTTTTGAATTCCCTGAATCATCATCCATGGTACTTGAGCCCCTATACCAAGTCATGTGAGGATCGAGATTAAATTAATAAACAATCATATAGAAATAAAAGAATTCATGGACATATTAGACAAAACCAATATATGCTAGGGATGTCATGAATATAAAGCAAATACCAACCTTGATATCGCAACTGCATTAGCAGCATCTATAACAGTTAATGCCGTTCTTGAAGCTGCCATCATTGCAACTTCATCACTGTTTGTTTTCTTAAACTCCTAAATTCGCATAAAACACATACTTTGAGAGTAGAAGAGAACATAACCTCAAAAAAGCAAGAGAGAAAAATGTGCTCACCTCTAAAGCAAAACTCTTAACCACTTCGGCAGCTGCATCACTAGCTGTTTTTATGGCTTCTGCTGGAGCATTCGCTGCTCTGGCTTCAGCAGCTCTGACAGCTTTCTTGAACACATCGGCAATGTCCTTAGAGCCAACTTTGCAATCTTTGAAGCATTCATCATCATCATCTCTTTCCAGGACAAAAGGATCAGCATTGTTCTTTCCTAAGCCCTTCTTGGCATCTGAAGTCCTTCTCAATTCCTGGCTTCTTGTCAGACTCCGATCCTTCCCACTTCGGCTGACACGACCAGTCCCAACTCAACCTAATTGACTCGACACTGTCGTGCGCCGGTGGTAAATGCTAGCTAAATGCCGGACCCACCACCAAAGCAAACCTGACCTATTTGACTGTGCTATATTTCTATGAAAATTTTGACAAAGTTTCCCCTTAAAAATGGACAAAACAAACCTGAAAAATCATCAAAACCTCAAATAGACATTCAAACCAAAAGTTTTAGAAACCACCACTTCCACTAATACCCCCACAACTAAAACAAAATATAACAAAATTCGACTGAGTGCTTCTACAACAACATCATGTCTACATGCAAGCATTACATCAATTACAAACCCTTCTACAAAGTGCATGACACCCCAAATATTAGACAAAGTATTTAATAAATATGAGTTTCCCAACAATTCATTACATACTATGAAACGGTCTCTTTCGTTTCAACAGGCTTTTCCAAGTATCTCAAAATCAACGGTCTCCCGATAGGAAAAACATGACAAAAATATGAGTTCGTAACTCAGTGAGTGGATGATTTGCAAATAAGTAAACTTTTTCCAGTTATGCATATTTTCTAAAAATTTTAACTTTATTAAATCCTTGAGAATTTCTGAATCTAGTAATATTTTTAAAAACTAAACATGATTACATTATAAAATTCTTTATTCTAAATTCTAGATAAGTATCTGTAAGGTATAACAAATATAAAGAATCTGATATTCATGAAAATTTATGAAATATTGCTGCTGCTCAATACTATAAGCTGAAAGCTTTATTCTGAAAACTGAATTAACTGAATTCTATAATCTAAAATCTGAGCACTGAATAAATACTAAAAAATCACACTAAAAAGAGTACCTAATGAATAGCTTTACTTATGTACAGAGTAATCTCGATGTACAAGGCAAAGTCATTCAAATCTGATAATCTGGTCATACGTACGCGGAGCTGCCCCAAAGGCTAATGACCCTAGTATACGGCACAAAGCCTATGTGTGTACGAGAGTGGATCCCAAAGACCTCTGATAATCTGGTCATATACTATGAAAACACATTCACGATATTGCAGAGCGGGTAAAATCACTATAACTGGTCATACACTGTGGAACCACATTCACATCAGTGCAAACTAAGGTAAAATCACCTGGGTACTTTCTGGTGGTTTTTAGAAATAACTTTAACTATACATGTTTATATTGTGGAAACACATTCACATCAGTGCAAACTAAGGTAAAATCACCTGGGTACTTTCTGGTGGTTTTTAGAAATAACTTTAACTATACTGAAATATGTAATAAGAATATAACATGCTACTAAAATAATTTAACTAAACTGAATTTAACTTTAAAAGAAATTGATAATAAAATCCATTTTATTTTGAAAATCGTGCTATGAAGTCAACTTTATAAAATAAATAACTTTAAAATTTAAAGAAGACTTATTTCTTAAAAATAAGTTTTATCCACTCACAAGGTAGGAGCTACAAGCTAGATTGCCTAATAAACGTTTTCAATTTCCTCGTCACCACCTGAAATACAATATTAGTAACCAATTTATCCTCTATCTAATCAAGAAACTTTAATATCTAATGATAGAACTTAATTTAAATTCGCTTGACATTTGAATAAATTCACAAATTTTCCTTTATTAATTGGAGCTAATCACACTTTATAATCCCTTGACTAATAACTAATTTATCAACATAACCTTCATTTCCAAGCATTACTGTGACAACCCACTTCATTCTAGTGACAAGAAGTTGCTATAATTCGACCAATTAAATTTTCCTCTTGTTCCATAGTTTCATGCTTCCAAATAATTATTTTCTCAACATCATTATTTCCATGAACATACTTAATCCAAAAATCCCAAATAAAATTTCTAAGGTTTGTTAAAATAATATTCCTACCCAGCTGGAATTGGAAATGAAGAAATCCCCAAACTTGAGCTCCAATTCGAGTTCCTCACACCTAAATTTAAAAATTTCTACTACAAGTTAAAACCCTAAAATTTTAACATAAATCATACTTTATCACTCGAAAACAATTGGAAAAATTAAACCAAACTTGAAGAAATTAAGCTTACCTCGCGTCCTCTTCTTCCCCTTTCTTCCTTCTTTCTCTTTTTCCTTCTCTTCTCTCTCGACTTCTCCCTTCTTTCTCGGCTTCTCCAGCTTCTGCCCATTTATTTTAGAAGAAGCAAGAGAAAAGTTAAAAGAAGCAAGAGAAAACCTCCACAAAAATAAATCACTAAATAAAACTCTTGAGGACGTACCTAGCCAAACATACTACAAGAAGACCAGTAGAATATGTGCATAACATTTCAGAGTCCAAGGTCTTCCTCTTCCTTGATTCATGCTTCCAATTGTGATCCTCAACAGATGTCCCGGGTGACTCGTCCATCACCCATCCTTTTATATTATCAAAAACATCTTCTTCGAATACATGTGGATACTGATCCAATTACAAATATTTAAAGAGATTCAACATGATGAACATAAACAAATAACCCCCACTCCCCTTGAAAGAGAGATGTCCTAAACAGCTAGACAATGGGGCCCGACTTGCCCAAGATGTTGTCGTACAAATTCCACCCATTCCAGAAAAAAAAACAAAAAAAAAAAACAAAACCTATTTCCTTCCAAGTTAGTAAACAGCCAAAAAGAAGCCTCATGGCAGCTGCCTGTACTGGCACTGAATATGTAGTTTCAGATAGAAATTTTGAAGATATCAAGTCAAAGAATTCATCATTATCCTATAAAAAGAGGGATAATAACATCAACATTCTAATGTTCTAGAACAAAAGATAAAGTAGAATAGATCAAGGAAATATCAATAACTCAGATAAGTTCCCCAGTCGCCCAACATTATGAGAAGACCGGCCACTGTTAGTTGACATTTTGCCCGTCTCTTCCATGCACCTACAGATTCCAAAAGAAACTGAGTTACAACTTACGTATATATAACATATTAACTGACATCAAAATATAATTAAAAGAATCATCATATAAAGCACACTTCTATAGACTATAACCATCTCATCGCCTAAAGCTTAAGAGAAGTCAATTCAACCAGTGAGTATGACTCCCATTAATAACAACTATCTAGAATTTTTAAGTTTACCAACCCACATAGTATCTTAACTAGCAGGTCCTCAACACCCCCCTACCCAAAAAAAAAAAAGAAACCAGCCCGACCAAAACATAATGTTTAACTAATCAAATAACAATAATAATTCATGACAGAAACACCATCCAAGATTCTTCATTAGATGTTGTATTGTGAGAGACATAATTTGTACCTGGATTCCTGGGCCTCAAGAATAGTGGACAGAGCATGGAGGGCGTTGGGGTTAGGGTTCTCCAGGGTCGAAGTGATCTTTTCAATTAACGCTTGCACCTTGGCTATCAAAATCTCATTTTCATCATCTTCTTCCTCTCCTTGCCCCTTCCACTCCTCCTCCGCCACCTGTAGTAGCTCTTCCACGGCCGCCGCCACAGCGGAATCCCTAGCCGCATCCATTTTTATATTATCTAAATGAAATGACCACTGACCAACGAAAATATAATCCAATAGCGAGATTAAACTGACACGAGTCGTCTCGAATCACCTTAATAGATTCGACAAGTGTCGTGCTCCGATGATAGATACCAGGTAAACGTTGAACCCACCACCAAGGCAACTTAACTTGTTTGATTGAAGAATATTTTTAACAAATTTGACAGAGTTTCCTTGAAATATGAACTAAAACCACTGAACAACAACTAATTTTCCTCAAATCAATACCTATAATATAAATAGGATACGCCAGTCCCTCAAAATACAAACTATTCAAATAAAATGTCGGCAAATCAACATTTCCTTTCTTTATAACCAACAATTCTCAAATATACTAAAGACTCCAAATATGCAGTGAATCCATGATAACCTTTTCTGATATAAACTACATATAACTCAAAGAAACATGTACAACATAGTCTGGTAAAGTAGGCCATACAACCTATGATCGTGACTCAATATGGCGGAACAACAGGCTCCAAAGCTGCTCAATTCAACTGATATCTGATAAGGAAAAAGGTGAACAGACATATGAGCTTATAACTCAGTGAGTGGATAATTTGCGAATAAATATACTTTTTCCATTTCTACATATTTTCTGAAAATTCTAACTTTATTAAATCTTTGAAAAATTCTGAAATCTGGTAACACTTTTAAAACCAAAACATGATTTCATCATACAATTCTTTATTCTTAATTCTAGATAAGTAGATGTAAAGTTAACGAATAATCTGATATTCATGAAAATCTATGAAATATTGCTACTGGTCAATACTATAAGCTAAAAGCTTTATTCAGAAAATAGAATTAATTGAATTCTATAATCTGAAATCTGATAACTAAATAAATACTAAAAAATCAAACCAAAAAGAGTACCCAATGAATAGCCTTACTCATGTACAAAGTAATCTCGATGTACAAGGCAAAGCCATTCAAATCTGATAATCTGATAGCTGATAATCTGGTCATACGTACGCAGAGCTGCCTCAAAGGCTAATCACCCTAGTACACGGTCCAAAGCCTACGTGTGTACGAGAGTGGGTCCCAAAGACCTCTGATAATCTGGTCATACACTATGGAAACACATTCACGATAGTGCAGAGCGGGTAAAATCACTATACTGATCATACGCTGTGGAAATACATTCACACCAGCGCAGAGTGGGTAAAATAACCATATGAAGTCATACACTGTAGAAACACATTCACACCCGTGCAGATGAGGGTAAAATCACCTGGATACTTTCTGGTGGTTTTTAGAAAATAACTTTAAATATGTTGAAACATTTAATATTCATATAACATGCTAATTATATAATTTAAATGAATTGAATCAAACATTAAAAAGAACAACCGATTATAAATCTACTTTATTCTGAAAATCATGCTGTAAAATCATCTGTATGAAATAATAATTTTTCTGAACTAATATAAATTTTATAAATACTAATTTCTGAAAAATAAGTTTATATCCACTCACAAAGTTATAGTCGATCATAGTTTCGATATTCTCGTCGCCTCATCACTTTCAAATTTCAAGTATGCTATCATGCTCTCGCTATAATAAATCATATCCCTTCACAAGCGTTCCTTGAGTATTTTCCTACCATTAGAAATAATAATTTACCGATAAAAACTTCGCATATTTTATTTTCAATCTCATAATCCCATTTAGAGTCATTAACAACATATACTTCTTTATATAAATTATTTTAACGCCAAAACGTCAAATATTTAACACTTAATTTGGTTCCAATACTAAAAATCCACCAAAATTAGATGATTGACAAAACTAGCACTATAATTCCAGAATATTGAAAACTGGCACTAATTTCTGAATATTGAAATCTGTCACCAAAAAATTGACAGAAATAGCACCTTTCTGGGAAAAATTTCAAAACTAGCACCTGTTTTGCAAAAACTCGAAAAATACAAAAAAAAATGGAGAATTTCAACCTCAAATCCTTAATTTAAGTTTTTAGCATCACATAATTCCAAGAATTTCAAATAATATGCCTTTATATTACAAACTCATTTCCAAAGTTTCCACTTTCTTCAACACTAATTTCCAAACACATATTTCTTTGACATATACTTATTTTAATCATCAAATACATATCAATAACACATAATTCTTGCTAGACTTTGAATTAAAACAAGTTTTCCATAACCCTTAAAAATTTAATTCAATAAATTTATACTTACCATTCTAAACCAAATGAGAAATTTAAGAATTTAGAACCCTAGCTTGAAAATTCTTCTTCTTCTTCTTCCTCCTCCTCCTCTCGGTCTCTCTCGATTCTTCTCTCTCTCTTTCCCCAAAATATATGAGAAAATGCATAAAATGAATGCTATTTAATGGGTAAATATTAAACAATTGCAAGGCAAGTCCACCATCTTCAGACACTATTACATTTAGTCATTTCTTTTCACATAATAGAAACTAAATCCTTGGATTCCTTTATTATATCATTCCTAACCTTCAATTACTCGAATTTCAATTTAAGTCCCATAAAAGTTATTTGTTCAACTTAAGTCCTTAATGACTTTGACCAAATATTTTTCCTTGACTTTGACTAAAAAAATGAGGGGTGTGACAATCTTACCCTCTTTAAAGAATTTCGTTCTCGAAATTCAATCAACTAGAATTCGAACATATCTAGCAACCTTTAGCTAGTCATAACTTCATTCTTTCATAGCTAGCATATTATCTAGCTAAACTACCTTTAACTTCACTAGTAATCTTAAAGTGTAAATTAAATCTGATATCTACTTATTCAGCCTTTGAAATAAGCCATAGTTTATTAAAGATCAAATAACCTCATTGTGAACTCCATCATTAAATAATTGGACCCTAAGTTCTAATAGACCAATATATGATATTCTCAACTTTCATTTTACCAAATCTTAGAAAAATTTAGCTATTCCTCAATTTGAAGTTCATGATACTACTTTCATATTTACTAAAACTCCGTCCTACGTCTTGATTTGAACTATTATCTAGTCAAATCCCTTTTTCTATAACAATGGTTACAAATTAAAACCGAATAACATTCTTTCAATAATTTCATCACAATAAATACGCCCTTGGAATATTTCAATATCATATATATCGTCACTTGTGTCTAGTTCTTATATGTCAATTCCATGAAAAATAGATCTTTATCCAAAAGCCCCTTAATTAATAAACCATGGTCGATCCCCTTTCTTCTAAATTTGTCTTCATAGCATCTAAAATTCTACTAAACGAAGCTGCACAATGTATTTTAGTCATATAACTCTTTACAATTAAGTCAAAGATAAATACTCAAACTCCACCATATAACTAACAATCTTATCTATACAAAATTTCATAAATCCATCCCATGAACCGATTATATCATTTGGAAAGAATCTTGTAACTTTTATCGATCTATCAACAATGATCCAAACACCATTTTGTCTCCATTCTGTGTATTTGGAACCCCAAATGAAAAATAATTGAGAGTAACTACTTACATTCTAAATTGACAATATCTGCAAAAATTCAATTGTTCATGATTTTCTAAAATTCCCGATATAACTAACAACTATTGAAATAGTTCAATGTAGTATTCTTTTCCTTTAATTCTGTATCACTTAATAATAATATCTACACAACTTCAAGTTCGACCCTTTTGAATAAAAACATACCTTAAAACTCCTGTAATCGATAAGTATTGTTCTCTCTCACAATGTGATAACACCACAATTTCTAAATTCAGCCACAATATAATCAACTATAAACCATGTTTTAATCATGATTCTTCAACAATTTATTTTATAATAATTCATCATTTTACCTCATAACACATTCTAAACCTTAGCATAATATATTATCATAAATCAAACCCTCGTCAACTTTAGATACAAGAGTAATTATTTCCTCAAAATTTAATCTAATTGCAAAACTTTTACATTTCTAAAACCCACACAATTTTGGGGCTCTTTCATTCTATGAAGATACAATAATCACATTTGATCCAAGATAATTCTATACTCTTATTCCATAACGAGATCATTGACATATTGCCAATGCATAAGCTTTCTTGTACATTACATAAAGACCTTTCATTAAAATAATGTAATTAAAAGATACCATTTCACAATGAGTAAGGTTTACATTTGAAAATCTCCTTAGACCTGAACTATCCAACATATCATCTGTATATTCCATAACGAATAGACATTGATAAGAAAAGAATATTTTATTCATGAGATCCAAAATTATAATTGAAAATAACCCAAAAATTTCATTACTAAAGATTTATTAAATTCACCTTAACTTCAAAATTTAGCTTGAATATTTCAAATGGTATGTAACATAACATAATAACCCAACAAATGGCTTGACAAAATTAATTAACTTAATAACCCAAATATTTCATCCAGTATTTTGTAATAGGATAACCATAACATTCATTTACTTTCTATTCACCACATCATGTTATGATCATGTAACATTGTCATATATCATCATATTGTAGGACTTAAAACATCTAATTATATCAATTTTTCTTAATATCATAAAATAATAACCTTAATATTTATCACGTGAACCTTTCACACATCAATTTATGGTCACATTGTATAACTTAGTACATTTGATTATACCTATCTCCTTAGGATCACAAAAATAGTGCTCCTTATAACTATCAAGTGACATATCACACATTAAGATACCATCAAGATTTCATATATTAATTTTCCAAGCTCAATAAATTCTAACTCCATTATCTACTCTTCACTCTACATCCTAAACTTAAAATTTTGTCATGCTTCTTTTCTATTCTTCATCTTCTCATAATCTTAAACGACATTCTTACATATATTCTTTCATTTTCATTGATTTCTAATCCTTGTACATATATGTACATGCTATTAGCCTACTGGAATCCTGTCATTTCCATATCAATCCCTGCAATACCCCTATACACGCCGTTTATCCTCTTCTAAATTTCTATTTCCATTCCTACTTTGATTGCCCATATTCAACAATATACAAGTACGGATCATACAAATTTCAAATTTCCTTATTTGTTCTCATCTGTTTATAGCTCAAGGCACAAGGTCATGGGAATGCTTCCTTATTTACTTTACCGACCTAACATAACCAAATAATATCGTTTACTCCAATCACAATTCACATTAATGATTGTCCAGAAATAGGGACTATTAACTTTGACATAATGTATCAATGTACATCACAACTATACAAGTACCACTAGAAGAGCAAATATTAATGCACAAATTCATCAACCTTTCAACTTATGAAAACTCCTTTAATAGGCTTCAATCCCCATAAACTTGGTGTTCCCCCTAATCAAGCTGCAAGTTAAGTGTAAGTGACATTTTATACTTTTCCTTATAAAAAGCAATGGCATTAAAAAGCCATTATGAACTCTTAATCACCTCAAAGTGATATTCTTAACCACAATCTTTTTCTTGAGTCTACATTGATATCGTTTACTAAAATAACAAAATCTAAACTAATCTTCTACTCTAACTAAAACTTACACTTGTAGACTATCTTTGATTTTAAAATGCACTAACATGTAATCAATGAGTTCCATAAAAATTATCATAGTAGGAGTAGTGCACTATTCATAAGATTCCAATAAAATCCATCTGGAGAAATAGTCGGTTAAATTAACAACCCAAAAAAAATCCTTTCATAATATTCAAGAATGTGACCACCACGTCCCCTCGTCTCATGTTTTCTTTATTCTCTCCATTTAGAACATATTTCCTTGTTCTAATATATATATATATATATATATATACCCAATAAAATCCATCTGGAGAAACAGTCGATTAAATTAACAACCAAAAAAAATCCTTTCATAATATTCAGGAATGTGACCACCACGTCCCCTCATCTCATGTTTTCTTTATTCTCTTCATTTAGAACATATTTCCTTGTTCTAATATTTTTTTTTTGTTTCATATCACCAACTTTTTCATTTTCTTCATAATTAGACTGTCTTCACTTTTCTACACCCCAAAGAGAAAATTAAAACCAGACAATCATAGACGTGATATGATTGATGTTTCAAATATTGATTGTCTATGTATGTATCTCATCCTTCCATGATCTATAAGGTAGTAAATTCCTCAAGAATTCTAAGAATAAGCATCGACTTTTAACTCTTTAAAATAATCAAGACTCCTTAAATAATAATTTCTCAAAATACCTTAATCACTTTATTGGAGCTTGTGAGTTTTGCCACCACGCCATGACTAACAATCTTAAGGACATGTCATTCTGAAAAAGAAATTCATGAATTACTCGAGCTTATCAACGGTTGAACCTTGCTCTGATACCAATTGATACGACCCGTCCCAAATCACCTTAATAGATTCGACATATGTCGTGCGCCGATGGTAGATACTAAGTAAATGCTGGACCCACCACCAAGGCAACTTGACTTGCTTGACTGGAGAATATTTTTAACAAATTTGACAGAGTTTCCCTTGAAATATGAACTAAAACCACTGAACAACAACTAATTTTCCTCAAATCAATACCTATAATATAAATAGGATATGCTAGTCCCTCAAAATACAAACTATTCAAATAAAATGTCGGCAAATCAACATTTCCTTTCTTTACAACCAACAATTCTCAAATATACTAAAGACTCCAAATATCCAGTGAACCCATGATAACCTTTTCTGACATAAACTACATATAACTCAAAGAAACATGTACAATATAGTCTGGTAAAGTAGGCCATACAACCTATGACCGTGACTCAATATGGCGGAACAACATGCTCCAAATCTGCTCAATTCAACTGCTATCTGATAAGGAAAAAGGTGAAAAGATATATGAGCTTATAACTCAGTGAGTGGATAATTTGCGAATAAATATACTTTTTCCATTTCTACATATTTTCTGAAAATTCTAACTTTATTAAATCTTTGAAAAATTCTGAAATTTGGTAACACTTTTAAAACCAAAACATGATTGCATCATACAATTCTTTATTCTTAATTCTAGATAAGTAGATGTAAAGTTAACGAATAATCTGATATTCATGAAAATCTATGAAATATTGCTACTGGTCAATACTATAAGCTAAAAGCTTTATTCAGAAAACAGAATTAATTGAATTCTATAATCTGAAATCTGAGAACTGAATAAATACTGAAAAATCACACCAAAAAGAGTACCCAATGAATAGCCTTACTCATGTACAGAGTAATCTCGATGTACAAGACAAAGCCATTCAAATCTGATAATCTGATAGCTAATAATCTGGTCATACGTACGCAGAGCTGCCCTAAAGGCTAATCGCCCTAGTACACGATCCAAAGCCTATGTGTGTACTAGAGTGGGTCCCAAAGACCTCTGATAATCTGGTCATCCACTATGGAAACACATTCACGATAGTACAGAGCGGGTAAAATCACTATACTGATCATACGCTGTGAAAATACATTCACACCAGCGCAGAGTGGGTAAAATAACCATATGAAGTCATACACTGTAGAAACACATTCACACCAGTGCAAATGAGGGTAAAATCATTTGAGTACTTTCTGGTGGCTTTTAGAAAATAATTTTAAATATGCTGAAACATTTAATACTCATATAACATGCTAATTATATAATTTAAATGAATTGAATCAAACATTAAAAAGAACAACCGATTATAAATCCACTTTATTCTGAAAATCATGCTGTAAAATCATCTGTATAAAATAATAATTTTTCTGAACTAATATAAATTTTATAAATACTAATTTCTGAAAAATAAGTTTATATCCACTCACAAAGTTATAGTCGATCATAGTTTCGATATTCTCGTCGCCTCATCACTTTCAAATTTCAAGTATGATATCATGTTCTCGCTATAATAAATCATATCCCTTCACAAGCGTTCCTTGAGTATTTTCCTACCATTAGAAATAATAATTACCGATAAAACCTTCGCATATTTTATTTTCAATCTCATAATCCCATTTAGAGTAATTAACAACATATACTTCTTTATATAAATTATTTTAACACCAAAACGTCAAATATTTAACACTTAATTTGGTTCCAATACTAAAAATCCACCAAAATTAGATGATTGACAAAACTAGCACTATAATTCCAGAATATTGTGGCACTAATTTCTGAATATTGAAAACTGTCACCAAAAACATTGACAGAAATAGCACCTTTCTGGGAAAAATTTCAAAACTAGCACCTGTTTTGCAAAAACTCAAAAAATACTAAAAAAATGGAGAATTTCAACCTCAAATCCTTAATTTAAGTTTTTAGCATCACATAATTCCAAGAATTTCAAATAATATGCCTTTATATCACAAACCCATTTCCAAAGTTTCGACTTTCTTCAACACTAATTTCCAAACACATATTTCTTTGACATATACTTATTTTAATCATCAAATACATATCAATAACACATAATTCTTGCTAGACTTTGAATGAAAGCAAGTTTTCCATAACCCTTAAAAATTTAATTCAATAAATTTATACTTACCATTCTAAACCAAATGAGAAATTGAAGAATTTGAGAACCCTAACTTGAAAATTCTTCTTCTTCTCCTCCTCTTCCTCTTCTTCTTCTTCTTCTTCTCCTCTTCCTCCTCCTCCTCCTCCTCCTCCTCTCGGTCTCTCTATATTTTTCTCTCTCTCTTTCTCCAAAATATATGAGAAAATGCATAAAATAAATGCTATTTAATGGGTAAATATTAAATAATTGCAAGGTAAGTCCACCATCTTCAGACACTATTACATTTAGTCATTTCTTTTCACATAATAGAAACTAAATCCTTGGATTCCTTTACACACACACACACTATTTCAAGAGGACTGAATAGTACAGATTTTGAAGCATTGAGTACAACATTATCTGTGAATCCTCTAAGGATCTCAGTAACCTGACCCGAACAACGTGTTGGTCCGGGTTATCTTTTACTTTAATTAAAGGAAAAATTAACTAGAAATCTACATTTAAAGATTAATTTTCAAAAATAAGGATGATTAATTTTCATTTCACAAATAAGGTGTTAATTAGATTTAATAATTATAGTTAATGAAAATTTAATTAAATGTACATACCCACCGCCCATTCTACCCAAATTTTCTTCCCAAATCCCAGCCTTAGATATTTTCATTTTCCCACCTCTATCTCTCTCTGTTCACGCACTCATCCAACCATCTCCCTTTTTGATGCAGTATACAAGATATATAGAGAGAGAGAGAGAGAGCATCTACGTATACATAAACATTATTGAATCTCTTTTTCAGACCTGCCTTGTTGTAATTTCATTTGCAGAGTTTTCAACTCTGAGAAGATTGAATGGCGCTGCATATTTTGCGGGAGTTTGTGCCCAATTGAATCTTCATTTGTATCTGAACATTTCTCTGTTTTTAGCTTTTTTAGCTTGAAATTTGAGGTGGTTTTTCATAATTTGGGTGTTGAGTGCAATTTTGGTTTTCCGATGGTGTTCGCCAAAGCTCATGTGAATTCAAGAGAGAGCTCCGGCAATTGATGTGTAGATTGAGGAAAACATAATGTGGGTGGCGGAGATGAGCTCACGGGTGGTGGTGGAGAGAAAATTGGTTCTGGTTTTGGATTTCATAATGAAGGAGATGGAACCAGCATAGCTTTATCAAATATTTAGTGATGGTAGTTTTTTTATCAAATTTTTTGTTTAACCAAATTTTTGGGATAGTTGTGGGTGTTTCAGCAGTGTCGATTCTTTTTGATATGTGATGATTCTGTTGTTAGTGGTCATGGTAAGGTGTTGCATATTTGGTTTGCTGGTGGCGATGTAGGTTATGGTTGTTCTGTGGTTGGCTATGATGGTTCTGTGATTGGTTGTAACTTGATATTGACCTGGTCACAGACAGTCACACTGAATACAATTTTGGTCACGGTTAGTCACGCCGAAAACAAAGTTGATCATGGTTAATCACATGTTTGCGGTGTATGCAGACTTGTTTGTAGTGATCCTATACAATCAAGTATGTGTTGTTGTGACTGTTTGTGACCAATTTTGAGGTGATTGTAATCGATTGTGCTTGAGATTGACTTGATCACAGATGGTCATACTGAATACAAATTTGGTCACAATTAGTCACTCCAAAAACAAAGTTAATCACAGGCTTCGGAGTGGTCATTAGAACAATTTGTTGAAGAGATAGTCGAACAGCCGCCGGAGCGAGCATCGGAGTTACCATCGGAGCCAATGGCTGTCTCCACTGAAGAGGTGTAGCGGGGTAATAGGATGGGGTGGGTGAGGTGGCATGGGTGGAAATAATTAATGTATATTATATTATATTTTAATATTTAATAAATTTATTTATCATCTGATTTTTGAAATATTTTAATGAGTTTATTATTTATGAAATGTGATTTCTAAAATTAGAAGTTATGTTAAGATTCCTTAATTAAGTTTTTTAATCTAATAAGTTAAAATAAACAAGTCATTAACGTGCAAAGTAATCTTGACATTTTTACTTCGCCCTTGCTTGATGCCTTTAAAAAGAGTTTTACTAGGAAAAATAACTTTTAAAATAATAATAATCTTTAGAAGAATATGTAATTAAAAATAAGAAAAAAATAAATAAATTTACGTACAAAATATTTTATTATGAGAATGTGATTGAAAAATAATTTTTAAAGAATGATAGACAAAAAAGATAACACATTATTTGGTCGAAACGTCGACTTTGAGCACAATTTTACTTCTACAACGATGTATGCCCTTCTTTGAGCTCCATTTTAAAGGAAATAATACATTTTTAAATAGTGATTAATGGAGAATGTGTGATTAAAAATTAAATAAAAATTTTGAATTTGAAAGTAATATTATTTTATTAAAGAATATGTGGTTAAAAATGAATTTTGAAAAAATAAATTTTGAGAAAAATGGAACTCAAACGTAGATTATAAAATTTGAACTTGAGTCCGTATTGTATTCGAAAATTGTATCACAATGAATCTTAGCCAAGAACAATAAAAGGTATAGCACATAATATACAATAAACAATAATTTAATAACATATGATAAAATAGATTAGACAGCACTCCAACAATATTTCTAAAAGAAAAGAACTAAAATATTGTCAATTGTACTGTCGAACCCCTTCTTGTACTTCACACCAAGTATACACATGGCAAGAGAATAACCAAGTGCATCATTTCTATATGATCACAAGAAGGTAAACAATAACATAATCACTTGAAGCAACATATTAACTGGCTCTGATAAGAATCCTCCATTCCTGGAATTTGAGGTCTGGATCATGATTTTAAACCTACACTCTCCAACCGATGGATCGTTTTTCATGATCACAGAAAGATTTGGAAATCTGCAGGCACTATCGAGCTGGTTCTTTTCCTGGTAATAACTGTTGAAAGCGTATGAAATGTTCTGTTGAGCATTCAAGTTTTGACAAGAAGTCCCATATCCGAGGCTCGTGCAATCAGCACGGGAACATGCGTAGCTCACACTTGGTATCACTTGAGGATCTTGAAGATTTGCAGAGGGTGAGAGCACGCACCAACGACGGGGCAGATGCCGAACGTTGCTTGCTGGTATCAAACCTCCCAAGTTACCACCCAAGCGGAGATTGTACTTCGGCGTACCATCGAAGTAGAATATTCCCCAGTGTCGTTCAAAGTTACCTGGTTGGATGCTTTTGGCGTCCTCGTCTATTAAGCTAAACAAGTAGGCATCCACGGGGCCCGGTCTCATTGGGGTCCCCCTGTTTCCCGAGATATGGGACATGAAGCCTTGGTTAAACCTTTGTGCTAACCTCATATTTGCATTCTGGTCTCCATCCGTAGGCCAACCAATTTCTCCAACTATTATGCTTAAGTTTCCGAATCCGTTCTTCTGCAGAGCCCATACTAAGGTATCATAATTTGCATCGAACACGTTGGTGTATATATTTCCATTGTCATTGATAGGCGATGAGTATCCGTCAAAGAAGGCATAATCAAATGGAAAGTTGGCATCGTTGTAGAGACTTATGAACGGGTAAATATTGACAGTGAACGGGGCCGCATGAAGACTCATGAAACTAATAATCTCAACCATGAGGTCACGAATATCAGGCCGGAAGTCACCAGTCGAAGGTTGCTCAGTCGAACTCTGGTAGACATCAGCATTGAGTGGGATAGTGACTTTCACTCGATTGCCAATGCCGGCTTTAATCAGGGCTTCCTGAATGTTTTGAAGAGCTGGAAAAGTGGTTGACAGGTAGGTTCCGTTAAAAGTTGATAGGAAAGGTTCGTTCCCAACTGCGACATACCTTGTAAAGTAAAAACCATATAGTCAGACAAAACAAAAAAATTAAAGATAAATGGAAATTTAACAGTATATGAACTAAAGAAAAAGATGTCAATGTCTAGAACTATTCTTATCTTCGTCAAATTCACAACTACCATTGCTGCAGTGATTTGTTCACATATAGATGTCATTTATGTCAATCTCCTCAATCATAATCTACCTTTCCTTGGTGATCAAATAACATTACACATCTACCTCCTCAGTTATATGCCATTAGCTTGTTTTCCGAATTTGTTATTACTATTAAATATAAGGAATCAGAGAATAGAGATTTTCCCCTTAACTCTCTTCTTCTTTCCAATAATTGAAAATTTAGAAATCTGTATTTTCATTTTCTTGGAAATCATTGATTTTGATAGGGAAAGAGAAGGACGATGTCTACAATTAACAAAAGCCACCATCAAGACAACAGCACAAACACTGCTGCTGCCGGCGGACTGATTGTGGCATATTCCTAGAAGACTTTACCAACTGCAAAAGCCGTTGATACACAGTCTGTTCTTAAAAGGTTGCAATCTAAATTGATTGCCCTAATGATGAGTTGACATTCTGGAATATCAGCTTTCCCTGAGAAAGACAACATATGCCACTGGAAAGGAACAATTACAGGCAGCAAAGATACAATATTCGAAGGAACGGAATACAAGTTGTCACTTTCCTTCCCTCCTGACTACCCTTTCAAGTCTCCAAAGGTCAAATTCAAAACGAGCTGCTTTTCTTCCCAACATTGATATTCACAGTAATATATGCTTGGTCATATTACAGGATAAATGATTGTCTGCCTACGTTGTGAGGACAATACTGCTATTGACTCGAGCTTTCTTGGAGAGCTGAACACGAGTTCACCTCTCAACACTCAAGCAGCATCACTATGGGTAAATCAAGAAGAGTACACGAAAATAGTGCAGAAATTACACAAGCACATTGGATAGAGATTCTCATAATCCAAATGGTGTTTAACTGCTCATTTCATTCTTTCCATTTGGAAAATCAATGGCCCAATTCTTTCCATTTTACTGCAGAAACGGAAAATTGTATACTTTTATGTGCATGTTCATGTTTATGTTTAAAGGACTTCGAATTTGAAGCGATGTATTAAATGAATGGGCAGTGTAATGTGTTAGTTAATTGTGCATAAAATATTTCCTCATCATTATACTTCCTTTTAACAAAAAGGAATTAGAGCTTAATCCATAACATAAACGTGGAAATAAGATCCCTAACTTTGATTTCAATAACAGAACGAAACCGAAATCAAATCCAAAATTAACATTAACAAACAAAATTTGGAGGAAAAGATAGAAGCCCAGAAGTTAAAAATAAAAATAAAAAGGGAAATTTTACCTGATGTCAACACTATTAGATAAAACATGTAAAGAAACATTCCTCTCCACCCATCTTTCAGCAGCAGCCGGACTATTAGCAAGAGTGTACAACATATCATTTGGGATGCCCACCATAACCTCTATCCCGGAACCCCTCAAAGCATTCAAAAAATTTGATTCAGCATCAAAAAGCTTCACCTTCTGAATTCCATTATCTTTTAGTAATTTCACAACAGTTGAAGGAGGCAAAGGATGAGTTGCCTGTGTTCCCCAATTAGCCCCAATACTGTGCACAGTATTTACCATCATAAATAACATAAGGATTTTAGTGCCCATCACAAAATTCAAGCCCAAAAGACCCATAATAAATAACTACTGTTTACCAACCCTAAAGACCTCAAGAACTAATTTTGATCCAGAAAAATCTTGAAATTTTAAAAAGGGTTTCAAGATTTAGTACCCAACAATTGCTTCACCTCAAGAAAACAAAAGGGTATCAAGATTAGAGCCTAATTTTGAAGAAACAAACACTATTAGCAATTATACTACTGGTTCTTGAAACTAGAGCTTTATAGGCTTTGCTTTATACTTTTGTTCTATATAGACAAACAACAGGGGTATCTTCTAAAAGTTCAAGGAACAACTTTTCATAGTGAAAATCAATCTTGGAAATTGAAGAAAACTATTCAAACGGAAGGCCAGTTTTTGTGGCGAAAGAAAGAGGAAAGAAAAAGTGCTAAATATGCAGTCTGGGCAAGGTGAAGTTTATCCATTGTGCACCGTCCATATTATGGTAATCCTTTTTATCGTGATTAAAGTATGAATTATTGATTCTAATCATTTTTTGTTCAACGTGATCATATTCCTTAATTATTGTCGCTAAGCGGTAGCAATATTAAATGATGGTCCAAAAATTTTATTTGTTATTATGTGGTGTAGGTTACATTTTCCTGTTTGTCACTACGTGTGATGCACTCCCGCTGATCAAATAAAGAGAATTATTGGGCATAGCTCAGGTACAAAGGACGGGAGTGAGTTTATCCACTCCTTATTGACAGTCGCAGTGTGAATGTTCGATTTCTGAAACATGAAATTGGACTCCTTAGAGACGTAGTGTACAGACAGCTCGTATTCCCTTGCCTTTTGGGACACATTCCGCGATTTACCTCCGTCACATAGCTCTAGATGCGGGGTGATAGGGGCCCTCAAATTAGGGTACAACCTTCTTTTTTTTTTTTTTTAAAGAAAGAGAATTATTTATTTACTTTTTCTTATTTTTTGTTTTGCTTTTGTTCTGGTGCGGGCCGTGGGGTGCATAAAGTGGGTTCAAGAAGAGGAATCCGAATCAGGCAAAAATACATTTTTTTCTTGGGCCCTTTTCCAGCCTCATCGTGTTCCCCACTGTTTATTTGTTTACTTTGGTTCTAGGTATGGTATTGGAGTCCGAATTTAGAATCTTATCCGAAATTGGATAAGTCGGTTGATTTGACTCATAAAATGGAAAATCAATCTAAGATTGATTCGATTATGTATAGCAGCTTTTGTATATAACATTCGGATTGTAATTTGTTAATTTATGGATTGATGTGTAAGTCTATTAACTGATGATGGGTTGACAAAGATTTTTGTTTCTTTGCAGTTGAGAATCAAGTCAATTTCAATTTTGATAAAGATTGTTCTATACCAGTATTGAGGGATATTGTTAAAATTGTTAGGGTAAATAGTACAAAATGTCTTTATCTTTCAATGTTATTGAGCAAAACATTATTACCTTCTATTTTTTTTTTTGAAATTTTTATCTCTATTTTCACATTTTATTGTGCAAAATGTCATTTTTCCTGTAAAAGACGATTTTACCACATTCAAATAAAACAAAATGAAATGAAATGAAATAATAAAGAACTAATTGCAACAATGGTCCCAAACTTTCAAAAAAAATTCAAATTAATCACAAATATATAATTAAAAATCAAAACTAAAAAAAGTAGGAATGTTTTGCACAATAATATTGAAAAGTAGAGATGTTTTGTGCTATTTACCCAAATCGTTATTATTAACAAAATACAAAAGTGGCGAATCATTATCATTAATTTATAAAAATCAAAAGTTTTTAGGGTGTGTTTGGGAAGTGTTGATAAAAGATTTAAATTATAAATAAATTGAAATGAGTGATTATTAAATAGATAGTATTTATTAGTCCCTCAAAATGTATTAATGAAAGTAACTTGAACATGTATAAACAATAATTTTGCTATTCGTACAATCAAGATTGACAATCCGAGTTAACGACCTCCTCACAAAAAGAGGGCTCAAGATTTTTTTTATTTATCATGCCCCTCTATGTGAGAGTTTGTCAACCCCCGTTGTACAAATATCACAATCCTATAAATAATTTATAAACATGAGCAAAACATAGGTTAAGCTGAATTGCACAAATGTTGGACATGGATTATAAACTTGATGTGACAGTCAAGTCTTAAAATGAAACTATATTTGTGTACCGCACTTGCAATCATAGTTTCATCGTTTTGACATGACTATAGGGAAGTATACATCAAGCTTACTAGAGTAAACCCAAGTGAATCCAAGGCAAATTAGAGTTTGAGTGGTCAAAACAATTTCAAGATCAATAGGTCATGAGGAGTTCAAGATAAAGGTATGCTGGACAAAGCATAAGAACCTATTAATCGACTCAACAAATTCAGCAATATTATGAGCTCTACAACATCATATAAATAGTAGTATACTCCACACTCTATCATGCATTAAGTGTCCAAAATGTCAGAAAAGTGATCGAAATGTGTCCTACATACAAGCTCAATATAATATTTACTTCAAATCTTGATAATGACATGACACAAATCCTCTGCTTCTTCCATGCAAATTCTCGAGGCCATTTTTCTCTTTTGTTGAAAACAACTCACAAGGTCATTTAGATCTGCGTTTAAAATATGTTTATGCTCGTTGAGTGATTTCCATGCAAATATGTTTATGCTCGTTGAGTGATTTACCTCGGATAACATTTGGTAATAATGTATTCTTGAATAGTGTATTGATTGGAAATATATGGTTAAAAAATAAGGAAAAGTTTATGATTTGCGTGTAATATTATTTTATTGAAGAATGTGTGGTTGAAATGATGTCAAATCACTGTTTAAGAATGTATTTTTTTGAAATAATGTGGCTCAAAATGGCCCATGCCATTTTGTTGCACGTTGGGATAATTCGAGCAACTTTGGTGGGTCCAAGGTAATCCTGTTGATCAGTACTTGAATTTAGTTGATTTTTTTTTGAGTTATTGAGTTTTGTAGAAGAGGTAGAAAAGGTCTTTTTTTTTCTTTTTTTTTCTTTTTTTTTTTTTTTGGGCGTTGGAGGATTTTTGGTGAAGAATTTTTGCGAATTCTATTTAGAAGACTATTTGGGAATTCTATTTGAAATCCAGTTGGAAATCTAGTTGAAGTCTATTGGGAATTAAAATTGAAATTCTATTTGGAAGTTGATAGTAGACTTAAAAAGGTCTTAAAAGAGTTCAAGTTGCAATTGGAGAAGCAAACGTCGAACTAAAGCCTTGATCCTGCTCTAACGCTCAAAATAGGAGCACTAACGCTTGTTTACCATCGCTCGACGCCCTCCTAAACTGCTGCTCAATCAATAATCTTATTCAGGGAATATTTTGTTTGCATTTTCAACAGGTTTTTACTCATATTTCATCATAAATATTTCATAATTAATTCATCCATTGTTTTGCAACTTCACCTTATATTAAAACTCTTCATTGTATTATATTCCCCTCAAGTTTCGTGGTGGCAGTTAGAGCTGAGAAAATCACTCGAACCTAACCGTTCGAATCGAATTGAATTGGAGTCAACAGTTCTTCTCAAGTTAAATACTCTGAACTAAAAATCGAGGAATACGGTTAGATTTTCGATTCTAGACCAAGAACTGAATCGAATCGAATCCGATGATTCTTCTCAAGTTAAATACTCGAACGGGTATCTGAATTAAGAATCGACGGATACGATTCAATTTTTGGTTCTAAACCAAGAACTAGGGTTGGGCGGGTACGGTTCGATTTTTTGTTCTAAACCAAGAACTAGGGTTGGGCAAAATCCAACCCAACCCAATCAATCCAAACCAACCCGATCAGTTTAGGTTGGTTTTTTAAGTTCAATTGGATTGGGTTTGGTTGAAAAAATATTTTTAAGGTTGGGTTGAGTTGGGTTTCGGGGGTTTTAAAGAAAAAAATATCTATGAGAAAAAACCTAAATAAAAACAATAATAAAGATATGAAAAAAACTTATAATTTATAAACGTCCATTTTTAATTTTTTTTTTATATAGATTGATTCCTATAAACATAATTTACAAATGAAATGTTATTTCATAATAAAGTAAGAAATTAAGAAGAAGATGATGATGAAATGAATAAATCCCAAAAAATTGTAAAAATAAATAAATAAATAAATAAAATAATAATAATAATAATAATTATTATTATTATTATTATTTTATTTATTTATTTATTTATTTTTACAATTTTTTGGGATTTATTCATTTCATCATCATCTTCTTCTTAATTTCTTACTTTATTATGAAATAACATTTCATTTGTAAATTATGTTTATAGGAATCAATCTATATAAAAAAAAAATTAAAAATGGACGTTTATAAATTATAAGTTTTTTTCATATCTTTATTATTGTTTTTATTTAGGTTTTTTCTCATAGATATTTTTTTCTTTAAAACCCCCGAAACCCAACTCAACCCAACCTTAAAAATATTTTTTCAACCAAACCCAATCCAATTGAACTTAAAAAACCAACCTAAACTGATCGGGTTGGTTTGGATTGATTGGGTTGGGTTGGATTTTGCCCAACCCTAGTTCTTGGTTTAGAACAAAAAATCGAACCGTACCCGCCCAACCCTAGTTCTTGGTTTAGAACCAAAAATTGAATCGTATCCGTCGATTCTTAATTTAGATACCCGTTCGAGTATTTAATTTGAGAAGAATCATCGGGTTCGATTCGATTCAGTTCTTGGTCTAGAATCGAAAATCTAACCGTATTCCTCGATTTTTAGTTCAGAGTATTTAACTTGAGAAGAACCGTTGACTCCAATTCAATTCGATTCGAACGGTTAGGTTCGAGTGATTTTCTCAGCTCTAACTGCCACCACGAAACTTGAGGGGGAAAAAAAAAAAAAAAAACCGACCACACACACGATCCACTCTGTCAGAATCAGTAGAGAGAGCCGGGGATAAGTGCGAGTCTCGTTACCGTGGAGTGGAGACCGAATTCAACGATGACACGCCTCATCTCTTCTCCTTTAACATCCGTGGCGGCTTTGATTTTCTCGTCTCCCCTTTGGTTCGTCATTTTCATTATCGACTTGTACAACGTGCTTCAGTTATTGTACTCATTTTGCTGTATTGTATCCATTTCCTTTTCAAGTATTTTGATTGAAATATTGGTTGTTCTTGTACAGCTGTACCTTGCTTGTTTTTAGTTATGTGCATGCCTCTGTATTGCTTAATTTTTACCCATTAAGGTTTAAGCTTTAAAGGTTGTATTTTTTTTGCTTGCAATGTGTCCTCTGTGTTCGCTTCTCTTGCTTTTGTACTTCTTGCTGCTTTGTGCCTATTCTCTGACATTCTTGCACTGCGCTTTGCAAATCAATTTAAGTTTTTTCTGCTTTATCTTAAGACAAATTAAAGACAATCAGTTGTATAGTGGTATAAGGTATGCTGTGCATTTTGCTCCATCCCTTGAATGATTGAACCTATCAATTAGCCAATCACATGCTATATTCCATGTTTGAAAGGTCAGTAAGTCACCTATAGCTTCATGTGTTTAATGGCCATTACTTATACTGTGGCACATTTAATAATTGTTTTGCATATAGTAATTGCAACTGGATTCAGAACTAGAAATTCAAGCATGAAATAATAAATCCCAAAATGAGTAAAAAAAGAGGTTTTCAACTGATCTATCCATGAGTCCATGAACCATCAACTTGACATCATCCTCTTATTATGACTGTGATATGAATCTTATGACATCCTGAATATGTTGCAGAGAAGCACTTCGAATGTTAAATCAGACGAATCTCGATAGAATTAAGTCTTTTTGACCATGCCCAATTAATTTTATGTCAACTGTTATCAATAAATTCTCCTTCTGATGTACAACGAAATGGTAAAAGAAAAAAAAAACATGTTGTGCTTGTTTGGCCAATTGAATTGTGCACCCAAAATAGGCATCAATGCTTTGTTTTCATCCCTGCTACTGGAAAGCTAAAAGATTTTGATCGCTGTGACTTGATTCTTAGTAATCACATGATAAAATTAATCACTTATAAGTAAAATTTTTGGGTTCATTATAAACCCTTGTTTGACCCTCATTAAAATTTTAATACATTTCTCTTTCTTCTTTTCAATCACAAATTTTTCAATAAAAATAATGTTACACGTAAACTAAAAACTTTTCCTTTTTTTCAATCACTCATTCTCCTAAAAAATACTATTCCAAAAATTAAAATCTCAAATAATGAGGCCAAACGGGGGATAAATTAATTATTGAATAGTCTTTATATTTTCTCCGCAATGATTTTCAAGAGCCATGTCCCTTGATAGTGGTGTGGGAGAAGAGGACTATGCGGCTCAAAACCAGAAGTGTTCAACAAGCTAAGATGACTTCTTTTATGTTTAAAGGATCAATTCTAAGCTTCAATCAATTCCTGTCTGTGTCCAATATTAATTGTTTAGAGAAATTTTTATTGGTCATTTTCTCCCCTGGATTAATTTCCCAATTAATAAGTGCGTTAGCTAAATGATTAAAAGAAATATACTCTTTCAGCCAACAAAAGAAAATGAAGGTGAAGATTGGCGTTATGTACTATGGTTGATACAAAACCTCATCCCATTAATCTGCTTTTGAATTTGAAAAATGTAAAAAATCTTTTAGATGAGCTTGTAATCGATACTGTTCACTAATACACGTATGGATTTATTTGATTATCATACCATTTGAAATGCTGACTGCTGACATGCATTGTATGAATCATGGTGGCTTTTTGCCAATCAAAGTAACATTTTAGTCATTATTTCATGTTTCACCAGGTATTTTCTATCTCCAGAGAGGCATATTGCACGGATATGAGAGCTATGGTTTGTTTCCGTACGAGATGCTGTAACTTAATGCTTAGAAGCGTTTAAGTTTTGTCTTCCTCGGGTTGTTGTCCTTCAGGATGTTCTTTGGGGTTGGTTTGTTATGTGATGCACATGTCATAATTCACGAATTCAGTGGTTCTAAGTAAGAACCTCAGAATTATAGTGAAGATTTCTGATTCTATGGAAAGAAATGAATTCTCATTATTTTCCATTTAAAGCATCCTTCAGTTCTCATTTTACATCATGATGCAGATTGATCCCTCCTATAGACCTAGCTTAATGGAGCAAGATAGTAGTGGATCAGGTGCCTTGCGATTTGCTGGGTCAGACTTGGTACTGAGCCCTTCACAGTGAAGCAGTCATGTTGTTGGCATGTGCCTCTTTTCTTTCTGCTCATCCTTTCATTTTTGATACTAATCCTTAAAATATTTTTCATACTGTCCCTTGGTAATTGATGTGTCATTAGGTCTTGCATTTATCTTAATTAATGATTGTTTCATTTGCAGAGTGATTTATATTTCTTTTTAAAATCCATTGCAGTTTATGCAAAGTCTAGATGGTATATACTTTTCTTTTTCACGTAATGTCGAAAGACAACTTTATTTATTTCTCTAAGTCGAGATTTGTGAACTGTGGATATTAAATGGAAAACTTTTCCAGTTTGCTGCTGTATATCTATCAAAGTAACTACTTAACTGATGGATTCAACTATTACATAGGCAAAATTAGCTCATGGGTTGACTTGGATTCCGGAGATGAGACACTCAGTAAGGATTCTGAAATTGCTTTGAAGCTAGAAATAGCTTGGGCCTCTCATCTATCTTTGCAGGTGAAATTCTTTCTGATTGAAATTATTCAGCTCTGGTTTCCATTTCTACAATTCACGTATATGTACACAGGCACCCTTTATATTAGGGGTGGGGCGCGGGTTGGTTCGGTTCGGTTCGGTTCTGGGCGCGGGTCGGTTCAGTTCGGTTCTAAAGAGAACCGAACCGAACCGAAATTTTCGGGTATCTAGTAAATGGAACCGTCGGGTCCAAATATAATTATGGAACCGTTCGAGTTCGGTTCCGTTCGGTTCGGTTCCATTCGGTTCTGTACTATAATTAAATTTTTTAACATTTATAACAACATTATAAAAATACTTACATTCAATGGTTTTGGAATGTCAGAGACTAGTAGACTATCTTGTTCAAATGATCGCTACAGTCAAAGCTTCGGTCAGCGGATGCCACAGCTTCGATCGGAGGTCACAGTGTCGGCCGACGATTGTATAGGTTTTGGAATGTTAGCGAGGTTACGAGAGTGAGTGCGAGAGCCGAAACAACGTTATGCACTTTATTGTAGGTGTTTAGAGTTATTTAGTGGATTTGATTTTGTTGGATTAAGAAATGATACAATAAAATGGGTAATTGGGCCAAAAATTAAAAAATTAGAAATGAAACAAATTATTGGGTCAAAAATTTGGATTTAGAAATTGTTAATTTGTTAATTTGTTTCGAAAAATTAAAATTAAAATAATTTGATTTACTCAATATAAAAAAAAATTAGAAAGATCCGTTCTCGGTCTAGAATCAAGAACCGAACCGTACCCGTCGGTTCTCAATTCAGATACCCGTTCGAGTATTTAATTTGACAAGAACCGTCGGATTCGGTTCAGTTCGATTCAAGTTCGGTTCGGTCGGTTCGATTCGGGAGATTTGTCCAACCCTACTTTATATAGGTTATGCATTTGTCCTAGGCTTGTCCCTTCTTTTACCAGGGTCGGATTGATGTTCCAGTTAGTCACACCCATCCTTCTCTTAGTTGCCTAAGAAGCTATGTTTTCCTCTGCAGGCCTGTTATCTTCCGACACTCAAGGGATCTTCCTGTGCCAATTATTCTAGGTGTGTTAATCAAATTCTAGAGAACCTAAACAGTATGCAGGTACCATCTCTCTTTTCTTTCTAATGATATTTAGCCCTTGTTTGAGCTCCATTTTTGGGAAAAAATGTATTTTGAATAGTAGATTGACGAAAAATATGTTGTTAAAAATTTAAAAAAAGTTTTGGATTTGCTTGTAATATTATTTTATTGAAGAATATGTGGTTGAAAATGATTTTTGAAAGAATGAATTTTAGGAGAATGGGGATCAAACAAGGGCTTAGTTGAATTTTATGCCACTCCTATTTAATCCTTCTTATCATTTAGTTCTTTGTTAAAGTTGTGGCTTAGGATCCTACTGGAGAAATCAGATGATGAGACCTGGAAGGCTGGAACCCTTATCATATGATGAGTTACACCCTGCAGTTCCATTTACATAAATTAAACATTATTTTAAAATCTGAAATACGAACCCCTAGTGTTTTTTTTTTTTTAACTCCCATTCTGCCCATAATTTATGGAATCATCTGGTGGTCAGATCCAAATGGACGAAATATTAGAAGCTATATTACTATATTTAGTTTTCAATTTTGATTTCAATTTAGGAAACAGAATTAGGAATTGAAGTCAATTAGAATTAGTTAAAATCCTATGTAAAGGGATACTTTACGATGTAATTGACACAACTATGATAATGAAATAAATTGATATACTCCTCTTAAATTCTCTCTATTTTCTCCTATGGATGGCAATTTACCCTATCCCGAATGGGGCAAAAAACCCCGCCCCGAACGGGTTGGCGGGGAGGGGCGGGGCGAGGGTGGTCCGCCCCGAACCCGCCCCGTGAAGAGGAAAAAAAATTAAAAATGATTTTATTTCTAGACAATTCATTCGTTAAAAATTCATTTTGAATTTGTATTTTATTCTCTAATAATAACATAATTCGAAACTTTCAAAATGTAAAAAAAATAAAAAAAATTAAACCGGGCAACAAACGGGGTAAAAAGTTGCCCTCGTGCCCCGCCCCGCCCCGTCTAAGGTGGGGCGGGGTTTTGGCCAAACGCCGCCCTACCCCGAACCCGCCCCATTGCCATCACTATTTTCTCCTCTTCTTTTATTTTCTCCCTCCTTTCTCTTCTTCTTCCTCCTTTCCCGTTTTCCTACAGTTGTTCCATAACATCCTACATCAATTTAGTACGAGACCCTAACACCCTACTCAGCCTAAACTCTGCAACACGCACATCACTAGCCCACTCAACCCCAAACATTACCCAAGTCCACAACCAATTTTATACAAGGGTGCCATAAAATTGATTAATGCACTTAGCCTTTTAATATTTCTTTCATCACGTATTAATTGCGATATTAATGTTTAGCTATAAAAAGAAAAATATTTTAGCTTTCATTTCAAAACCGTCCTCTTTCAAGAATCAAGATCTCCTCTCAATGTCCCAATTCCTCCTTTCTCATTGCCTTAACCTTCCTCAAACTCCCCTCCACACTAATACTTCAAATCCTTGGAATCGCACCTCACTCCCAAAAAATACGATTATATAGTTAATTGTCAAAATTTTGTGAATTATTTTTGAAACTATGGCGCAAAAAAAGAGAAAGCAAAGACGGAATTCAAGGTTAATGACTCCCAAATTGGAGGAAATTAATGAATCCCCCTTGTATCCCTGCTCAAGCTCTCAAGTGGAGTAATCATTCATTCCTAAAATTTTGTGCTCAAAGCTATCGTGCGCTGATGGAGAAATATCTGTACAATTCGTCTTACCCGGAGTCCAGCGGCTCATCGCCTTGCTTCCTTGAAATTGAGTTCGAGAATCCGCGACCGTGGGAGGATTCACACAACAATCAGCTTCCCCCAAATTATAAAGTGAAGTTCAAGTGCAGCTATGGCGGCAAAATCAGTTGATCGAAGTCATTTCTTGTCAATTTCAACTTGGGAAAATCAGGAATAAAAAAGGGAGTGTTGAGAGAAACTGTTCTTGCATGTGGTATCAGAGATTATGCAGCTAACAGACTGATCAAGATTTTGAATGGTATCTTCAAAATCCTGCTGCATTAGTTTTGTAGAATTGGTAAAAGGGACAAAAAAGCCATGGATGGCAATTTATCAGTGCTTTCAACACCTGGAGGGACACCATTTGTTTCTTGTGAAAATGGGAGTTCAACAATTTTAATATCGGAATCACGGAGGGAATCTCGAATCTTAACCGTTGATCGAAATATTAGATTCAGTTCTCTATAGGATTTCAGCTCACAGATTGCTGATGAGGCAAAGACGGAAGATGCATGCAATGAAGAAGCACAACATGTAAACAATTTTGGAAAATATTTGATATAGATGATTTTGGAAATAATATTAGTTTATTAACAGTTATGAGTGTTTATACAATTTTTTGACATTCACATCTTAGTTTAGCCATCAATTTTCATTAGTTGTGAGCGTATAGGAAACTTGGTTGTATTTAAATTTCTGGATTATGCTTATATTGCTGAAGTTGTTAGTTCAAAAGCTTTTAATTTGTGGGTTATGATTTGTCAATTTTTTTTTTGGAGTTTGTGTCACTTTTTTTATTTTGTCTCCCGTTTTTTGAATCTATGTATTTTTTTTTTAATTTGTGTTAATTTTTTAAATTCGTCACTTCTTTTAATAATTGTCACTTTTTTTCAGTCGTCCTTTTGAAATTTTTATCACTTAAAAAAAGAGATAAACATCAATTTTTAATAAAAGTGACATTGTATGCACTTTTAAAAGTGACATAATGTCACTTTTTTTACACAATTTTTATAAAAAAAGTGACATTGTATCACTTTTTAATTTTATACAGTATCTTTTATATGATTTTTCAAAATACCCCTAATTTTAAAGGTATCTTTGTAAGTTGCCCTTTATACAATATAGCAATAATCACACCCAAGCCCACACAATAGAGACCCATTAGCCAGCCCCAACTCTCCCTAATCCATTACCCGGCCCGTACCAACTACCAATACCCAAACAAATAGATACACTTCTAATGCCTTGTGAAGCGTGGTTGTTAGCCAAGCATCTTCAGTGCTGATAACTTGCTGATCTACCACCTCTTTCTGCCTTTCCGCCAATTATCTTTTATCCAAAATCAACCTATCACCCTTTCTTGCCCAATCCACACACAGAACCACCCATCATCATTTTCCCGCTACTATAAGATCTCACCTTATGCCGCTATTCTAATCCTCTCCAATCTGATTCCAACGCTAGTGTGCTACTGATAGACCTCCCATACGCTTCACGTATACAAGAAGAGGAAAGAATAAGTAAGGCAGCCAAGTCAGTCGACATTCCAGAATATTCGACCAATTATGTAGTAAAGCGGTAAAAAAGTAATAGTGATAAGGAAAAATGTCTATAAAATGTGAAAGAGAGAGAAAGAGGAAGTCAGGTAATTATTGAGTGAGTATAAGGGAAACCTTTAGGAAAGTTATATCCCTCTCGAATGGCTAATTGTTCTTTACTTTCTTTGTAATTTTTCTGTAATTCAATCAAAGTTCATTTCATTATTTCTTGTCATTATTTTTTGTACTGTTGGAATCCTATTAAATGGTATCAGAGCCATCGATTCTCGAACGAATGGAAACTAGTTTCAGCAGCAAATTGGAAGAGGGGGTTTGCTGCTGAATCGGTTTGAGAATGTGATAAGGCAACAGTACGAAGGAGGCCGAGATGATGATTCAGGGCTGGATGCTCACGGTCGACTCATAATTTCCATATTCTACGGTGATAATATGGAGTGGTGGGTGTTGGAGGCAGAGAAGATTTTCTCCAGAAATCAATTAGCAGAGCCATAGAAGATAGAGGCTGCAACAATTTGTTTTCGCGGCGAAGCATGGGATTGGTTTCAATGGATAGATCGACTACGACCGGTGCGAACTTGGGATGAATTAAAGGGATTGATGTTGGCTCGATTTCACGTGAACAAGCTCTCCAGTGGTGAAGAATTGTTGACGGAAAATCGCAAGCACCACTGGGAGAAAAAAATTGATGGGATTCAGTTGGATGTGCAGGAGGATCTGAAAACACTAAAATCTAAAATTAAGTAGGTAATGTGTAAGCTTGACTTGATGATGGAAAAAATGGGACAAGCCGGGGAAGAAAAGGGTCAGGCGGCTACTCTACCTGAGTTGGATGAAATTTGGACAATTACACTTCAATCGGATGAAGGTGGGGCAATTATTGACAGCCATAACAGCGTAGAAGAATCGGGTAAGGTAGTGGCACGCAATTGTGGACTAAAAATGCTGGTTTCGAAAGGAATTGCAACTCCATTGTCGGCAATTTTTGAAGCGATGGATGGCGATTGTAGTACTGGGCTGAGATCAGTTAAAGTCAGGGAGCCTGGCTTAGGCTTCATTGGGGAGTTAGTCCAACACGTGGAAGATAAGAATGAATTGGTAAAGCAGGCCCAAATGAGTTACAGCCCAAATAGAAATAAAAATAATTCCAGCAGCCCAAACTTTTTTAAAGGCCCATCCCTATACCTATATACTCACCCAAACATCTCAACCCACTCAATACAAATCATCCACCCAAAAACTAATGTTGTTACGGTGCTTCAACCATCGGCAATGCCAAGTGAATTTCCTGTGGTAGGTTCAACTGGTCATGGAGTTTCCTTGGATATGATACTTGCGATAATTGCTTGCTTGATTAAGTCATCCCACTTCAAGGAGTTGAAATGTCCTGTGTTTGCAAAACAAATGGTTTGGTTGCATGATGAATTGACAAAGACATCAACAACTTCCACCTTGAGGACGAGGTGGATTTTGGGTCGGCGGGTAATGATAGACCTCCCTACACTTCACGTATACAAGAAGAGGAAAGAATGAAGTAAGGCAGCCAAGTCAGTCGACATTCCAAAATATTCGACCAAGTATGTAGTAAAGGGGTAAAAGAGTAATAGTGATGGGGAAAAATGTCTAAAATGTGATAGAGAGAAAAAGGAAATCAGGCAATTATTGAGTGAGTAGAAGGGAAACCTTTAGGGGAGTTATAGCCCTCTCGAATGGCTAATTTTTCTTTACTTTCTTTGTAATTTTTCTGTAATTCAATCAAAGTTCATTTCACTCTTTCCTATCATTATTTTCTGTACAGCTGGAATCCTATCAGCTACCACTTTCATCCCTATTTCACTTTCATCTAAAGTTCTTGTACAGTTGTATCGTTGCAATCAATAAGCAAAGATCGCGCTGTTTACTCCACCAGACAACTCGCCAAGACCACGCTATCGGCTTCTCCAACGAATCTTCAACTCAAGCAGCCGACCTACTGCTATATTCTACCAGTGATCCCACCAACATCTCTTCCACCATCATCCACTAGTTTTATCTCATCGTCGCCTCCATTCATGTCGAAGTTCCATCTCGTTGGTAAGTCTCGACGTCCTCTTTCTTGTTACTCGTGCTTTACTTGATTACCACCTACTGTCCTTACTGTTGCTAGACTGTCGGACGTTGCCGCTAACCACCACCTCCTCAATCAGTATTTGAATCTTTTGCCTATCGTTTTTGCTAGATGCATCTCTTCTGGTTCATTGCTGTGTTGATGACACTATTGGAGTTCTTGCTTCCTGTTTACACTGAACTTGGAAAGCAATTCATAAATTATCACACCTGGCATTGCATATAATTGGAATCGTATATGCACCACTTGCATCTTGCTGGAGTCTCGTAAGGTATCTCGATTTTGTAATTTTTGAAAGCTGTAATTTTTATTTAGGTGTTTATGGCATGTCCAACCTAATATTTAACAAAAAAATTGAAATAATATAACTAAAAGTTAGGTAATATAGTATACGATCCGTTTCATGACTTTTACACCTCTGCACGACCTTATGTTGCTACCACGATCATGTACCTTCCCTTTTCCACTCATCAGCATAATTATCATCCATCTATGAACTTTGTCGGAGACGTATATTCTCCTTTTAGGGGGAAATATATGGAAATAACCTTTTCAAAAGGTTTACTTTTCCAAAATGACCCTTAGGCAATTTACATACCAAAAATACCCTCCATTTGGATATTACATAATAAGGCATCATACTATAGAAATTTTCTAATTTAGTCCTTAAAATTAAATATTGATTGAAATTTGATAATTTTTATTTGATTTATTTTGATTTAATTGATTTTTGTTCGCTCTAAGTAGACCCCTCTAATTGGTATAAGAGTCATAGAGATCATGGAAATTAAAATAAGGAAAATAAATAATTATTGGTGTTTAGAAGAAGAAAAGATAGTTATATATTTTTAAAACATATTCATAATAAATTAAAAATAATGACTTTGACAATTATTAAAGAACTTCCTAAAGAAATAAAGGAACAAATATTAGAAAAATTAATAATAGAAAAAATAAAAGATATTTATACATATGAAAAAATTATTAATATATATGAAGATGAAGAAAATAATTTATATTATAAAGAAAAATATGAGTACAATTGATAATACATATCAAAAATTGAATAAATTACTTTTAAAATGGATAAAATACAAGAAGAAATAAGAAATATAATGTTAATACCAGAAGGAATGAGAATACCAAATAATAGACAATTAACAAAATTAAAATGTGAAAGACTAAGAGTTGAAAGCAAATATTTCACTATAGTAAAAGAAAAATTAGTAGATCCAGATATAGCTAAGAGAAGATTTGGAAAAATAATAAATAAAAAGGAAGAAAAAAGATGCAAATTAACCTACGAGTTAGGAATAAGAAAAAATTAAGATGTCAATAAGTGAATATATGGAAGAATTAAAATCATTAATAAAAATGTTAATAAATGATGTACAAGATTTGAGAAATGAAGAAACAAGAAACGATATAAATATATTAAAAATTGAAATTAGAGAATTAAAAGAAAATAATAGGAATAAAGATAAGAAAATAGATAAAAAAAAACTTATAGAAAAAGAAATGACTCGAATAGGAAAGAAATATATAGAAAAAGAAAATATAGTAATAGAAACAGGGAATATGGATGATGAGTTTAGAAAGAATATATTACCAAAAATACTAGAAGAAGAAGAAGAATCTAGAAAAAAATCATTAGGAAAATTAAAAGTAGAAGAAAGAGAAGATGAGTAAAGAATTAGATTTGTTAATAGAAAATTTTGATCAATTAAACTTAACTGATATAAGTGAATATCAAATTTTAATGAATACTGGAGGAAGACCTAATCCAGCAGGAACCTCTAAACAAAAATTACATGATGTAGATGAAAGCTATGCACATATATATAATAAACCATATAGACAATTTTATGATAAAGTAAGAGATAAACAATCACCTAAAGGAAATAAATATAAAGATAGGTTTGAATTAAATGATAATTATGTTAAACCAATTAATCATGGTAGAACAAAGCTAAATTTAAATTGTAAAATAGATACTAAAAAAGCCTTATTAACTTGGGCAGACTCGATGATATTATTCTTTTTATATAACAAAGATGACACATGAGAAAATACTAAAAGAATAATAGATTTCTTAATAGCATCTTTTGAAGGAGATGTTAGAAATTGGTGAGAAGGAATAAGCAATGATACAAAAACATTAATAAAAAGAAATGTACAAACAGAAATAATCAAATCAGATAAACAAGGTATAAAAAAATTAGTGAAATTTATTTCGGATGAATTTCTAGGAAAAAATTGGATAAGAAATGTTGAAGGAGAATCAATAAGAGAAAAAGATAATGCTAAAATAAAATTAATAAATTTAACAATATGTGATATGTGTAAAATTAAAGAATATACTTATAAATTTAAAAATTACTATTATGTTCAATTTTATAATAATGAAAATCAAGAGGTATACCAAGACATGTATTATAATAAGTTACCAGGTTCATGGGGAATATATTTTAAAATAGAATTTGAAAAATATGTTAGAGATAATACTGGAATACCTAGAACTTTAGGTTCAAGAATAAAATTTTTATTTGAAAAACTTGCATATATATGTCAACAAAGACAATTAATGAAAAAAATTAGGAAAATTAACTAAAATATGTTGTGAAAATATGGAAATCCCTGTGCAATGGAGATGTAATCCTGAAAGAAGAGTTAATAAAAGAAAATATAAAAATAAAAAGTTTAAAAAGTTTAAAAATTTTAATTAAAAATATATAAAACCTAGAAGAAGGTATTATAAAAGAAAAAATAACCAATATAATCAACAGAAAAATAAGACTTATAAGAAAAGTAAAAGCCAATGTAAATGTTGGAATTATGGAGAAATATGTCATATAAACCCTAATTGTGATAAAAAGAAAGTTAGAATATTACAAAAAGAATATTTAGAAATAAAAGATGAATTAAGTGAAATATCAGATATTGAAGAATACTATGATCAAGAAGTATATATAAGTGAAACAGAAGAAGATGAATCAGGATCTGAATAAAGAGATTGAAGAAATAGAAAGTAATAATATAAATATACAAGAATATGAAGAAATAGAAGGATATGGATTAAAAGTCACTTTTGACAACAAGTTTAGAAAATTGCAAAAATTATCATTAGACTTAAAAATAGGAAAATAGGAAGTCTTTGATGGAATTTGAAAAAGAGGAAGAATAGCAATAAATGAATATCACATAATAGAAAAAATCATAGATGTAAGAACAACTTATGAGATAGATGTAAGAACAATTTATGAACAATATAAATTAAATCTTTTAACAAGAAATACAGTTGATGACCTATTAACAAATATTAGTAAAAAACAAAGTGAAAAAATTCAATATGTTTATTTAGTAGGAATACAAATAATATTTAAATCACTATTTAGGGAAGGGCTACATTCATCCTTAACTATAACTTTACATGATGGAAGAATAATAAATTTAAAAGATAGTTATTTCCAATAGAAGGATATTTAGCATATTAAAAAATTATGTTTACATGTTATCCAAAATATTGTATATCATTGAAAGATAGAAATTTTAATGAAGTCTTAGAACTACATTTCTAACTTCATAGAGATGATATTATGCAACCAGGTGATCAAATTATGACTATAGAATATAGAGCTTTATACACATTTACCAATTCTAATTATGTGAATATTTATTCCAATAAACCATATATTGAAGTTCATAAAGGAAGTAAAGATATTAGTAAAATAATAGAATCAAATAAACAAATAAGTTTAATTCCAGAAGAATATGAATTTTGTATAACAAAAAATAAACCTGAAATAACAGAATTAAATGAAGGAGAATATTTTAATAACATAAATTTAAGGATGAAAAATTAATTAAAAGATTAAAAAGTTTTAAAATACCTAATAAAAATCAGTTAGAAGAAATCAACAAAATAAAAGAAGTAAAATTGTATAGGAATGTTGGAAACATGAAATAGAAGGAGAATATTATAATGGAAGAGAAAATATAAATGGACCAAATATATTAATAGATATACGAGCTAGTGAATGTCATATAGCTTCGATTAGAAACAAATGACTAATAACTCATAAAACTGAACCATATAAGTATGTAAATTTTGATGGATAAGAACATATAACAGATTTGGAAGTTAAAGTACTAATAAAAATAGGAGGAATAGATCTCTTCGTACCATGTTACATAGATAGAAGTATGTATATAAACCCTCATATACTTTTAAGAATGAGTTTTCTAAACGGATTAGAAGATTATAGTATAAAAAGAGAAGGATTATATATTGTTCATAATGGACAAACTACATTATATAGAAAGAATTAGATGAATAATCAGATAAGTTTCCCATTAGCTGTGTATATACAAATTACTATTGAAGAAACAAATATAACAACTTGTATTTTAATAGATACAGGAAGTAATATAATAATATTTAAAAGTTTTTTAATAAAATCATGGAATAATAATAGTAATATAAAAATAATTGGTGTTACAGGAGAAAGTACTCAAATAATTAATAGTGCTGATAAAGTTAATATAATTCTTGGAAGTAAACAAGTAACAATAAATAAAATTTATAAATATGATAAATTAGAATGTGATATATTATTAGGAAATGATTTCATACAACAATTTCAATATTATAAACAAAATAATTATATGATAATGTTACAAACACCTTGTGGACACTTATTAAAAATGCCTAGAGAATTTAAACTTTATAGAGTTTAGCCAGCCCAAAGTGGTGATAAATGGGAGAAAAAATCAATTCTTAATAATGAAATAAAAAATAAAAGAATATTATATAAAAAGGTTCTAACAACAGGAATAGAAATGAATATAGAAAAAATTATTGAACAATTAGAAAAGGTTTATGGAGAAAATCCATTATTATTTTGGAAACCACATCACCCAAAAGCCAAAATAAAATTAACAGAAAATGTTATAATAAGAGTAAGACCAATGATGTATACAATAGAAGATACACAAGAATTTAAAAACAGATAAAAGAATTATTAGAACAAAAACTTATTAGATCTAGTAATGAACCTCATAATAGTCCAGCCTTTATGATTATGAAACACTCTGAACAAAATTAGAGGAAAAGCTAGAATGGTTATAAATTATAAAGAATTAAACAAATATACAAAATTTGATGGTTATTTTCTACCAAATAAGGAAGTACTAATAAATCTTGCAAGAGAAAAACAATATTATTCTAAATTTGATTGTAAATTAGGATTTTGGCAAGAAAAAATGGAAGAAGATAGCATACAATATACTGCATTTAGCACACCTCAAGGAAAATATAAATGGTTAGTTATGCCATTTGGCTTGAAAAACGCACCACAAATATATTAAAGAAAGATGGATAATATATTTAAAAAATTTAATGAATTTCTAATAGTTTATATTGATAATATATTAATATGTTCTAATAGTAAAGAAGAGCATAGAAATCATTTAATCCAATTTATTAATGAATGTAAAAAAGAAGGAATTGTACTATTTAAAAATAAATCTATAATAGAAAAATAAGAGATAGACTTTCTTAAATTATCAATAGATAAAAGAGGCATAAAATTACAAACTCATATATCCAAAAAGATAGA